CTTCTGGAGAGGACCACACGCATGTACGCCCTGGCCCGAATCATGCTGGGCAACGTAAACATCGCCGCCACCACGGCACTGGAGGCCTTGGATCCTGAGGGGAGGGAGCTCGCGTTGCGGCGGGGGGCGAATGTGGTCATGCCCATCATCACGCCACAGCGCTTGCGAGGTAGGCAGGGACCAAAGCTTGTCAGTGGTGACGTATAGGATCTTACGGCAAGCGCTCTGTGGCTTCATCCAGCCGCTACGTATCTAGAAACTTTTCTCGTGCTCACAACCTCTCCTTCCCACCGTGTACTTTTCTCCCCCCCCCCTTAGGCCAGTATGAAATCTATGAAAACAAACCAGGCATCGATCAGGATGCCTTGGATAGCACCGCGTGTCTGGAGCGGCGGGTGCGAATGGCAGGGAAGGATTTGCTGCTGGATGGAGGCTGGCATGACCCACCCCATTTTGTTAGACCCTCTGTAGAATAGTGTGCGAGACAAAAGCCCGAACAGACACGAGACCAAAGCGAAAACGACTTCTTTTATTTCTTCAATTGTTTCCTTGCATACAAAAGCTTTAGAGAGCCATGACCAATAGCCATAGAAGAGAAAAATCAAGTTTGCGTTACAGTTCTGTGTTTTCGCTACCGCGTCTACCGGCCCCTACACTACGTGATGAGTCCTACCTGAAACAATTACCACATGATTCACCTACACGCTTACATTTCGTCAACGTCACTTTACCCTCTGAAGAAAAATTGTGGCTTATTTCGGCCCCTGTCCCGAAAGCCCATGACTTCCTCGTTGGGCATTCCAAGACTGCTTCGCAATCATGAGTCCTTTCTTCCCGTGCATGGGATCGTCACCCCGCTCCACATGGCGGTGGTGCTTCTGCTCCGCATGCATTGCCAGGTCCTGCTGTTTGTGCACGTCCTTGGCCTGCAGACTGCGTTCTTGTTCGTGAAGGATGTTGTGAATGAGCCCTTGGGCGGTCCCCGTCGGAGCGGGATGCTCTGCAACCACCCCGGCCTGGGGAGTGGGGGCCTCAGGCGCTTGCTTGGGTGCCTCGGGTGCGTCGGACATGTTATCGATAGTGTGGACCTATGAGTACGTGTGCGGTTGGTTGAATAAGTTAGAACGCTCATCTGAAACCCAAACAGGAGGCCCTCGTCTCCATCGCCCTCGACGGGGTGGAAGATGAGAGTACTGCAAGATACAAAGTCCTATAAATACAACGGTGCGGCGTCCCCAAGACAAGACAACAGAAGCAACCTTGCATACTAAAGCACTCTTGCACATGTCGTCGAAGAAAGCGAAACGCCTGCAATGAGCACGTCTAGCTTTTCTACTTCGAGATTGAAGGACTGCAGGTTTATCGCCTTGAGAATTTTCAGCTGAAGAAAGGGAGGAAAAAGTTCCCGAGGGCTCGAGACATGCTCGGGCTTAATTGCCCTCGGTTAAAAGCGGGCTTTCCCAATCCCATGCCCCATTTTCAGCCAGCGTAAGCATATTGAATGTGCTTCTGACAAAGGATGATCGACTTCCTCGTTCGTTGCGAGCAAGGCCGGGGGGAGGCGGATATCGTGCAACACAAGATGAAATATGCACGTGGGAAAGCTCGTTCAGTGCCTCGATTCTGTCCCATGCTCTAAGTGAAAGACACCTATCCGGGGGAATAAATGGTGTCTACCCGGAAAAAGGCACATGACGTGAAGTAAATAGAAATCTCATTTGAAAACCATATGATATTCTCTCTGTCCCAACTTTTTTTGGCAAAATTTTATTTCCCACATGTGTGTAGAGACACCTCAATAAAGTGAGGGGTGAAATCTTTGGTACATTAAGTATCATAGATGGACGCGCAGTGCGGATCAGGTACTCATTAAAATGGTTCAGAGCTGGGTACAAAATCCCTTTATGAGTCGCTACGGGAGATACGTGCAGGACCACAAAAAGTTCTGTACGTCTGTCCAATCACAAGAGCGTACCCTTATAGTAGAACACTGCACAAAGCACGGGACTTCTTTCCACGGGGGTGGATGGCAGCAATCCAATTCTTCACATCCAACAATAACTAAAGTCAATTAAATCAATCAAAAGATGTTTTTTGAGATCAATGCTTTGTTCATTTCCTTTGATCACCTGTAAAGATTCATATTGATACTTGCTTTCAGCAAGAACGTTTTTATTTTGCCAACTTAAAACAGTGGAAATGGTGGATCGTAAGTTTTAAGCAGAGGGGAAACGAACTCTGTGGCCATTGACTTCTCGATTGAAAAAGGCACCCAGAAGCTCGGTAGGTGATAGAATAAAAGTGATATTTTCAATCTGTACCGGAACAATCTTCTTCCTTTTAAGGCATAGAGTACATCTTGCAAGTAGACGACAGAATGAAAGTGATACCTTTAATCTCTGCCGAAACGAACGGCTTCAAGGCATAGAGTGCATCTTGCAAGAAGTGTCCCTTAGTCGTCGTCTTGCACGTCATCCTTAATCTACATGACCTTCAAAAGCACCCCCTTCTATTTACATGCTTGATTATCAGACAACGTTGCGGCCCCCTTCTTAAGCCGTAAAAGAATTTATTAAAAAAATGGAAAACAAGGATCAGTTATGGCTTCTTGCTTCGCTTTATTCAACCCTTTCGGTTTACCTTCTATGTCTTCAGCGTTGTTGCCATGCCGCCTGAAACAGCCCAGGACGGGTCTCATGATTGGTAGTCAAGCTGTGAAATGCATGCGGAAGCTCTCTTTTTCTCCTATGCAAACGGCATATACAGACATATTTTTTTAAATTGAAATTATTTTGAAACTCACTGTAATTTCCATCGAGTTGTGACCACTGCTCAGTGGCCCATCATTACAGTCCATCCTCGTCTCGCTCTTCTTTCTTCAGAAAGGATGGGATTGAGATCTTTTTAGCAAATATGAAGATTAAAGATGAAACTACACCCTCTTATTGCGAGTGGGACACGAGCGTTGATGAAGACATGACTAGCGTGTGCCAGCTCTATGCTCAAAGCACCGTGCTCGCCGAAGATATCACCCCGAATTTTTCACACAGAAAACGCAGAGCACACCTCTCCTCTCACTTCCTCTCAGTGTTCATGATACTTTCCGGTGCATATCCGGTGTGCTAAGGGAGTAGCCACTACGGTCATCGTCTGGTACTTCCTCCCGCTCCGGCCTTTTTCTTTCACTTTCCACTCTCAGACCAGCAGCCTTTTATCGAATGCCCTGGCCTTTTCTCTCAGCCATGCCATCGCTGCATTTTGTGTGGCCTCGTCGTCGTCGCCGCAGGCCCCTTTTCCTGACATGAAATTTGTGGAAATATGTACCTAGTGGTCGGCCGCCTTACTTGTTCTGTTGGTTTTCATATTTGAGAGTAACCTCCCTCCACGCTGACGTCGAACGACTCATTTTCTGGGTATAGGGAGCACCGGCGTCGTGCGGGGTGCGGCTGTGAGGGCACGACAGCTGGGCGTGGCGATTAGGTGTCGGGGAAAAAAGGGGGGATCATAGTAAGGATTGGGGAGCTCAAGTGCCATTCAGTCACAAAGTAGCGAAGAAAGGACGGAAAGCGTCCATATCGGGGCGAAGTCAAGCACGCAACAAATGTACCATGGCTTCGAGGCCGAGTACGGCGGGGTTGGCGAGGAGCTGACATATCCTCTGTGCAGGGAAGAAGAAATGGACACACACCCCGCGCTGGGTGGTCCCTTAGATGGGGTTTCAACAGCCATGTCCGCTTTGAGCACTAGCTTCGCAGCGACGGGTCATGGGCCAGGGCCGGCCCACGAGGGCCACGCTAGCGGTGCTTTTGCTCCCCCGTCCACGGAACATGCCGGCGTCATGTGCGCAGCTCCCATGGCCATGGGCACGGCAGACGCTAGCTCAGTCCATCTACCCTTGGCCCATGTGGGAAGCGGGAGTAGTGGCAACAGCAGATACAGTGGGAGTGGCGGCGACAGCGGGAGCGTGGGGACTGGTGGCCTCCATCCATCCTTCTCGAGCGGCCTTCATTCCTCCTCCGGGGGGGCAGGCGGGGGCATGCCGAATGCGGAGTTGGTTCGCGTTCGCGTCGACACTTCTGGAAAGAAATTGCTGAGGGAAGCTGCCCTGCTGACCCGCCTGGCCGAGATACTGCTTCCAAAGCAGGAACGAGGGAGCGAAGAGGGGAGGGGCTGGGCGGAGGGGGATGCGGGGGCGGTCGGTTTGACAGAATGGTTGGCAGGAGAGCTTGGAAACGACACGAGGCGTGCTCGCTTTTTACTCGCCATGTCGGGGGAGAGGGATGGAGAAGAGGAGGCGGTGGAGCGAGG